AAAATAAAACTCAAGAAAATAAGCCTCAAGAAATTCTTTGCACGATTATAACACAGTTATTCTTTTTTTACTTTTCGCACCATACTATATATTAGAAGCTATCACGCTAGCAGTCAAGCTAAAATTGCTCAAATCAAGACCAATTGACAGTTTTAAAAATTTATCTCTTTTCAACTCAATGATTTAAGTAAATGTTCAAATAGATAGTAATTAAGTGGGTCGAATTTGCATATAAGGCACTAAGTATGGATAGAAATATATAATCTAAGACATAAAAGCTTGTGAGAATGTTTTAATCAAATCAGATTATTTAAGATGATATAAAAGAAAATGTAGTGTTCATAATTTACTATTTCATAAAAGTCTAAATAAGCAAATGTTCATATACAATAGGCTATTTTTTAGTTTTCAATAATTCAAATTTTGCAAAATTGCAAATAAATTTTCTTGAAATCGCTTAAGTAAACCTTTTCAGTTTTATTTACTGCCCACAAGTGAAGTATGTCTATCTTATCATTACGAGTAAAGAATCTTGAGCGCATCTCGCTAATCAGAATGATTTAATATGGTCCAAAAATTCACGAATTGAGTTGCATTTTTTAAATATGCCGTTCGCCAAAAGTGTCTTATTGTCAATAGTAAAAATCAGCGAGGACAGGATATGTGGCTAGAGCAGGAATAGAGATTATATGATTAGTTGGCAAGACATAATACAATGCTAAAAATTGTATCGCATTCCCAGACCTATCGTCAGCATCGTCAGCGAGTCTAACCAGTCTTAGGTCTACATGACAACTAGATAAAGAGACCAGTGAAGTCGATACCTTGACCAATTGTCTGCTAGACAGTTGTGGTATCACACCTCTTCTGAGGTATTCCATTATCCTATATCATCCTAACACAACTTCACTATCTCAATTTCTTACTTGCTCATGCAAGACTGGTTGTGGAATGCCGCTTGAAATGGATTTCGCTAGATCTAATTGACCTCCCTGAAAGCTGCTTCATCCTCTCTTGTGTTGGGAATTTTGATCTGAGTCTGACTTTTTAGTCCACAAGCCTCTTCTCTTAGGTCCTAAAGATTTTCCCTCTTTCCTCCGTAGGATCCGTCTTTTATCTTCCTGATTCAGTGATTTAAATGATCATTTGTCAGCATGTCCATGCTACTCGATATGCTATGTTCTACACTTTGCCTTTAGTTTTTGATATCATGTATCCTCCATCCCCTCTGAGTAATCCCCAAAGTCCGGATTGATAAAATGGATGCAAAACTAAATTGATGCTGCCGACATATTCGGCATTTGCGCCAAGTAAAGCTCCTGGCAAAGCCTTTAATTCAAGAACCACGTCTCCGCAGCATCTATATGCTTTTATCTCTAATGCCAGGTCTCTTGTGTGCCAACCCCCAAATATTTTGGTTCTAGTTATCTTGATAAGGTTTACTGTAAACTGCATAGTGTGTATCCCGAACTAGTTGCGTTCCTCTATGTCTCCATTTCAATATGACCAAGTTGTTAAAACAAGGTCGACCAGCTTATTATTTTAAGCTTCTAATTAATCCATATTTGATTGCCATAACTATTTTCGGCATGAAACGTATAGTTACTTGTAATTTATTTACTTAACTATTAATAAAATAACATAAAAGGATGAGAAATTCGGATTCCTTATAAAAATAGCTTAAAGTTTTACTGCTCCAAAATATCGAGTCAGAATAACTTAATATAGATGTTATGATTTCTATAAATAGTTACTATATTCTATAATAACCGTAATAGTGATTCAGAATCTGTTTTCTAAGAGATTTACCAGAAATTTACGCCTAAATTTCAGAAAGCTGAGTTACCTAATGTCATAATCTTACCACTATTTTAGCTGCACTTTAACCTGATTCAAATACAAATATACAAATAGTTATGCGCAATATTAATTCCAAAATATATCCTTCATTTCATTTCATAGAGCACCAGGAAGCTAAATATATCCAATGGCCTAAATCTTTAAAATGGTGGGCAAGATTTTAGGTTTGCGGAAGAACCAACTAATTTAAATATATGTGCCTATATATCTATATACACATAGCAGGATAG